TTATTGGTGCGAGGTATTTTCCCTAAGGTTTTGCACTTTTTTTTTTTTTTTTTTTTTTTTGTCAGAACCAGGGATTGAACTCAGGCTCTTGTGCTTGCCAGCAAGTGCACACATAACTAACTTATTTCATTTCTCACATTCTAATGAGGTAACTAATATACTCATTCCTACTTCACAGGACTTTTTTTTTTTTTTTGGTACCAGGGATCGAACTTGGGACCTTCCACTTCTCAGGTTGTCACTTATGTCATTGAGCTATCTCTCTACTTTACAGAAGGGGAAACTGAGGCAGACAGGCAAAGTTGTGTAGTCAGGATTTGACTAGAGGCCTGGGGATATAGCTCAGTGGCACAGTGATTGCCTGGTAAGCTCAAGGTCCCGAGTTTGAGTTCCCATACTCTCCCCCAAAAAAAATTCAAAAAAGGATCTGACTAGAAGCCAGTCCTATACATCTCTTTCTGATCACTTGTGCCCAACCCTGTGCTATATTACCGTGTGCATGAATTGCTTGCTTGCTGATCCCTGAGCCAAGACTTCCAGACTTTCGCAGTGCTCACAGGTAGCCATGCCCAAGACAAGTGTATCCAGGCTTGCATGATGCCCAGCAGTGTGCAGGCACCTGCAGATGATGCTGGCCCCTAGACCCCAGTTTAGAGCTACTCACAATCAAGCCCTGACTTGCTGGAATGAGCAACGCCTCCCCTGAGCACCTGGAAACCTAGGTTCTTGTCCTGATGCTGCTGCTTCCTGTGTCTGAGGCTTGGGCAGTGTCACTTACTAATATTCTCCCGGCTCTATTAGATATCTGCCCTTCGTTTACTAGAGCTCACAAGAGTGCATACAATTTTTCCACTCATAAAGAAAATGTTTGCTTAAAAAGATACACAGTAATATCCTTGTAAAATCACATGCATACATTAACAGTTATGCTAACTTGCCCTTTTTAAAAAAAAAAAAAAAATAGCTTGACTTTCCTTGAAACAAACCTAAACTCCTCCCGCAGACCTGTCCTCCAGCCTCGGCTGCCGGGGATACGGATCCACACCCCAGCAGGCTGTGTTCTGACCGACATTAGCTCTCTCCCTCGGGGAGCTCGGATCCGCTCTCAGCTCAGCCCAACAATGAGAAACTTTTTCTCTTCTCCCTCAGGGGAACCTTCGCGTTTATCCAATTCATTCTCTTGCAACCCAACTCTCCAGAAAGAAGAGGGGGGAGAATCCCACCCCTAAGAGACTGGTCTTCAGGTCTGAGGACGTTACCTAGCAACGGCACAAAGACCTGTGAGCAAAGGGGAACCTGGGGAGAAAACTCTTGGGTGGGGATACAGAGCCAGTTTGAAAACTCCATTTCATCCAGAGGGAAACAAGGAAAACACAAACAGAATGAATCCCGAGGAAAGCCGAGGGGGGCTTTGCCCCAGCGCAGGTCATCCCCTCACTCGCGGCTCTGACTGCTCTCCCCGCCCGCGTTTCGCCCGCCGCCCAGGTGCCCGCCCCTGGCCCCGGCCTGACCCCCACGGGCTGGAGTCCGGGCCCCCCACCCCTCCCCGGCACCCACCGTTCTCAGACGCGCTGGGACCTTCGCAGTCCGAGATTAACTGTTGGGGTTTCCGCTGCTTTCGCCGAGACATTCCCGGGTGAAGAGATGGGAGAGGGAGGGAGGGGCAACGCTCACTTAGTCTCCACCGGGGTGACCTGGTCCGGGCTCCCCCTTGGGTCTGAAGCCCGCGGATGCCTCTTCCCCCAGTGCAAAGCCCTGTGAGCAGAGATGTTCTCCTTTCCCAGAGAAAGACAGACTCTCTCTGATTCTCTGTCCCTGACTCTTTCTCAATCTGCGAGTCTTTAAAGGGGAGACGCCCCCTTTTTTCTTCAGCTTCTTCCCTACGCTTCTGCAGCTCCCATTGTAAAAGCAAAAATCCTAATCTTTCCGCACACTCTTTTCTTTTGTACTGCTGAGGAAAGGATTTAACCCTCTCCTCCCTGCCGGGGCTCCGGCCTCTCCCCGTGCTGTCTGTTCAGTGGCCCTTACTTGTTTTTCTAACTCTTCTTCCAACAGCTTCGCAGTGCGCTTGGCTCTCTAACTCTGTGCCTCTCTGTTTGATAATGTGGATGTTTTGGGGTAGCAGCTAAGAATTTTCTGGTGTATCCTAGGTCTGAGGCAAGAAGTCAGCTCTTTTCAGTCCAAAGTGGGGATCTGAAAGATTGAGTAGAGATAGGGAAGAATTAAAATAAATGTACCGCTTGTGATAGCTTATGTGCTATATTTATTTATGTAACACGTTTAACATTACAGCCTTGAGAGTAGCACAGCAGGTTTACCCCTCCTATTTGTAGGGCATCCCTTTATAGAAAAATTGAAAAGCCCACAGCTATCCAAGGTGACCTAGCTGTGACCTAGCAAGAGTGGAACACAGGTGTATTCTTGCCATCACGCTGCTAATGTGAAAAAAAAAAAAAAAAAAAAAGATGGAAAAACCTCGGTATTATGAGCTGAGACAGGAGGATCCCAGGTTTGAGCCAAGCCTGGGTAATTTAGCAAGACCCTTTCTCAAAATACAAAACAAAACAGGTTAAGGAGGTAGCTCAGGGGGAAGAACCTGAGCACAATCTCCAGGACTGCAAAAAACAAAAACAAAACAAAAATAAGTAGTGATTTCATTTACAATAGCAGCAGGATCAGTGGCTTCACATCCGCCCCAGTCCTGTCCAGATGCCATTGATAACGACAGTGTGGCTGGTGAGTTCCTTGATTTCCCAGAGCAAAACCTGTGAAAAGGCACTTTTAGCTGAATATAAAGGAGTTTTTAACAGAGTAAAAGACTGGTAATTTGTGATTTCTATTGAATATGTTCACACATGGGCTGAATAATTGTCAAAGATCCTGTGTAAAGGATTTTCTTGTGGATGTGAAAAATTTTTTATGGATATGTCATTGGACCTCTAATTATTTCTCCATCTTCGTTGGGCTGCATGAGCAGCTCAGGGGTAGAGCACTTGCCCTATGTGCATGAGTCCTTGGACTGTATGCCCAATACCAAAATATACAAATAAATTTACTCTATTTCTCCAAATATCATTTGACAAATCACCAGATATCTCCAACTCAGCTTGCACACTAAGGTTCACTTGATTGTTCCTCAACTTCTTTTTCTTTCCTTGGTGAGGTTCTAGGGATCAAATTATTCTTTAACTCTTAACTATGCTGTTCTTACCTAAATTAGAGTAATATTAGGCTACTGGGCACAGGCAATCGCAGACATGTCCTCTCTTTTAGCCATAGTGCCTGGGTTCCTCTTTCACCTTTATGTGCCTTTCCTTTGCAGGCTGAGGTGAGAGAGCACCTGAAACAATATCAGTTGGAGAAGTGGGGGTTATTTTTCCTCTTTAAGTTTAGTGATGTAAATCTCTGATGGCTGTGTCTTCAGAGAAAAAGAAAGGCAAAACAAAGCTCACAGTGTGGGGGGCACAGTAGAAGGTTTTGCATTTCTTCTCTTCTGCAAGTCTAGGATTCTTTCAGCAAATACTAAGAATAGAAGAGGAAGACAACAGATGCTTCTGTTAGCAACTGAGGAAGGTCTCCCACTATTTTTTTTTTCTTCACTGCTAAGGATTGAACCCAGAACATCACACAGGGAGGCAAATGCTCCACTTCTGAGCCGCAGTCCTAGGCCTGCAGGTGTTCGCTTCTGAGGATATTCTGGAAGCCCTCTGCTCTCTGCTTTGGAGTTCACACACTGTTCATTATTTTTCCAGGTTTTTGGGGTCAGGACTCTGGATGGCTCCCTCACCTTGCACATTTGGAATTCTTATTCTTGACATTGTCTCATGAATTATATTTTCTGTGTAGACAAGTGCCCGTATTGCTACACTACTTTAAGAGAAATGGGGATTTTGAAGCCAAAAAAGCTTCTAATTCCTGAATGGAATAATCTGGACTCTTCCTCTTTCATCCCACATTTCCTGTCATTCATATGCTTTGTGAAGCAAAATAAGGGAGAGAAAAACATAGCTCTCTGCTTTTCTCAGGAGCCTATGAAATCTCTAAGGGGGCAGACTTTGGTCCCATGTCGTTTTCCTGAGTCTTGACTGTCTTCATCTTTTCCTGTTTTTCCTCCCTCCTCCTTACCAATCTTATTGTGAAAGGAAGGGCTCTTTCCCCCCTCTCCTTTCTTCCGCCCTCCCCCGTTTACCATTTTTTCCCTTTTACCTCTCCACTGTGGCCTCTTGACCTCCCCACAGAGTTACAAAAGTAGAATCCTTGAAGAGATGCTGCTGTGGGAATGTTAATGAGCCTTTCCCACAAAGGGGCAAAGACTTTACTTCACTGAGTTGGAAAAAAAGCCCCTTTGAAAAGGGGTTTCTGTGTGTGGTGAAGTGAAGAGGGGAGAGGAAGGAGAGAGAGGGAGGGAAAGGGAGAAAAGAAGAGGGGGAGAGAAAGAGAGCAAGAGAATAAAATGGGGGATGGGAGGATTCAATAACAAAAAATACTAGAACAGCAATTTTCTTTCTTTGTTTTGTGATTTAATTATTAGAAAATATACCATGTTCTTTTGACCTTGTAACCTAAGGGCTTAATTCCCAAGAAACTGAAGAACCACTCAAGAGCATTGGAGATAATAAAGGATAGGAAAAAAAAAATCCTGCCTCTGCACCTCGCATTCCTTCTTAGGATATTTTCTAATTTTATCATGATTTCTTATTTTAGCTTTCTTGGCCATTGGTTTATTTCTCTCCAGGAGTAGCTAACAGTATGGTGGAGGTGTTTAAACCACGGAGTCAGTTGCTGACTTAGGCCACCTGAGAATAAAATATGGGTCTGGATTAGTTAAAATGAACATTAACATATTGTGGTGTCAAAATTAAGTCTGTATGTACTGGGAATATAGCTCAGTGATAGAGCACTTGCCTAGCATGTGTGAGGAATCTGGATTTAATCCCTATCAGTGCCAAAACAAAAATTAAATCCTTAAAAAAAAGCAAAGATACATTGCTGTTTTTCTTTTAAAGCAAATCAGCTGTTATGGGGCCGGGGAGATGGCTCAGTGGAATAAACGCTTCCCTGGCAAGTGCAAGGGCCTGAGTTCAATCCCCGGTTCTGCAAAATAAATAAATAAATAAATAAAAATTTTAAAAAATCAGCTGTTTCATTTGCTGCTTCATAATATCAGCCAAACACCCCAATTAGAGAAACCAGGCACTGTGAGGTGCAGGACAAGGTGACTGGCCTGAGGCAGGTGGTGCGAGGGGCCTGTGGTGCAAATTCCCAGAGCTCTGTGCTCTCCTTTGGGCAGTTTCCCTAAGCCTGTTATACTTACCTGAGGAATTCTTCAAGAGTCCATGTTCCTGACCCCTCCCCAGCAATATAATAAGACTTTCTGGGGCTCAGACCTTAGGTTTTATTTTGTTGTTTGTTTGTTTGGTGGTACCAGGGATTGAACTCAGGACCTTGCACTTGCCAGGCAAGCACTTATTCCATTGAGCTATCTCTCTGGACCCTAAGGTTTTATTTTTAAAAATATTTTCCTAGAGACTGGGTATGGTGGCATGCACCTGTAATCCCAGTTCTTGGGAGGCTGTAAACTGGTGGGTCACTACAAGTCCGATCTAATAATGAGACCCTGAACACCCTGTAGATCCTTCTCTCTCTCTCTCTCTCTCTCTCTCTCTCTCTCTCTCTCTCTCTCTCTCTCTCTCTCTTTTTGTGAAACTAGGGATTGAACTCAGGACCTTGCACTTGCCAGGCAAAGATCCTTCTTTAAAAAATACAAAAAAAATAAAAATTTTTTTTTCCTTATTTATCTGATACAGGGTCTTGCTGTGCAGCTTGGACTTGTAGTGATCCTCCTGTCTCAGCCTCCCCAGCACTGGGATTGTAGGTTTGCACCACCACACCTGGTTTCCATGGCTGGTTTGGAGAGGGGCCCACACAGCATGTGGTACTAGGAATCGAACCCAGGTTCTTCAGCTTGCCAGGCAGGTGCTTAGACCTCTGAGCTATCTCCTCAGCCAACATAAGATTTTGAACCAATCTATTTTTTAAAATTATTTATTTATTTGTGTGTGTGGCCAGCTCAGCCCACCAGGGGGCGGGGCTGGCTGGCATATGGTGCTGGGGGATTGAACCAAGGTCCCTGTGCTTTGCTAAATTTGTTCTAAGTAGGTGCTTTAGACCACTGAGCCATCTCACCAGCCCCAATCTATTTATTGATACTTTTGCAGAGTCAGGTTTGAAACAATTGGACTTGTCTGGTGATTTCTAAACTAGGTTTTAAATTCCCAGGGGACCTATGTGGTTTTGCAAGAGAGCCCTGTGCACTGTGAGCCAGCCCTACTATTGACTGAATAAGTAACAAAACCCTCAAGTGAATGTGCTACAGTTGGCTAAATGTTCCTTGATGTTAAGGTTAACACACTTTTTAGCTATTTAAAAGGGACTTTAAACTCAGAGTCAGTTTTGTTTTGTTTTTAATGTATCTGGTTGTTACAGAGTCTGACCACCCAGCTCAGACTGATAGAGATCCACCTGTTTTCAGCCTCCCCAGCACTGGGATTACAGGCGCCACTACACTGGACTCTGTGGTTAACTCAGCCTGCCCTGGGGGTGGGGCTGGCTCAGCTTATAGTGCTGGGATCAGAACCCGTCCCTGCACTTGCCTAAGTTTGCTCAAGCAGGTGCTTTAGTCAGTTGAGTTATCTTGCTGGCCTTTCTCTAGTTTTTTTTTTTTTTTTTTTGTGGAACCAGGGATTGAGCCATTTCCCTGGCCCCTTTGCCCACCTTTCTCAAAGTCAGTTTTGACCTAAGAGTAAACTGTAGTCAGGAAGGGTTCCGGGAAACTTTCACTGCTTTCATTTCATTCACTGCTTCTTGTCTCAGGACAAAACTCTGATAAAACTCTGCTTTTTCTTGATACAGGGTGTCACTACGCAATTCAGTCTCATAGTGATCCTCTTGTCTCAGCCTCCTCAATGCTGGGATTGCAGGCCTGCACCACCACACCCCGTTTTGGGGTGGGCAAGGCACAAACTGGAATTGTGGAACTAATATGGCATGTAGTGCCAGGTAATTAAGCTCGGGACCTTGCGCTCCCCAAGCAAGCGCTTAGACCTCTGAACTGTCTTCCCCAGCTCCTAACTTTTGGTTTTTCTAGTTTGTTTATAGATGTACAGACATTATGGAACCATCTCTTCTACCTTTCAAAGAGTTAGAATCCTTGACTTAATTCAAGAGAATTGAGCTAGGAATCTAGAAACATATAACATTTCTATTGCTGGGCCGGGGAGATGGCTCAGTGGAATATGCGCTTCCCTGGCAAGCTCAAGGGCCTGAGTTCAATCCCCAGTTCCACCAAAAAAAAAAAAAAAAAAAAAAGAAAAAAAAAAGAAAACTAACATTTCTACTGCTAATAGT